CTCTCTCCCCAAACACAAAAGAAAAAGAAATAAGAAATTAGAAAGCCAGATAAACCACAAATTTAAATCTCCATTTGGAGTAATGCTTGCTTCTGAAGTTTAATGGGCAGCTCTATTTTTTCCTGATAGAAAAATAGGAATCATTAGAATCATTATGAATTCGTGCGAAAGATAGGAAAATTCATTTCTCTTAAATAATTGGTTTCCTTTTCCAGAACTTTTCTAGAAATAGAAATTATTTTGGAAATACAATGCCATATAGATTCCAGTTTTTCTCAAAATAATTTATAAATTGAATGTAATTCAAATAAAAATGAAAAAGTTGTATTTGTGTATCCGTGTGCGTGAAAACCTGAAAAACCGAGGCTAAAATTTATATGCTTGGTGTATATTAAATATATTTCATAATTAAAAAAATATAGACTTTAGTTTTAGGCAGCTTTATTGTAAAACAGAAAGATGGAAAAACACTGGCAGTGTCATTAAGACATGACTCGTTATTTTCCAATAAAATGTTTATCAGCCTTTTATTCCGAGGCTCTACCTTTCTAGTTATTATGTAACCATGGCATAGAAAAGCACCGGGTCTGAGAATCTGGCCAATATCTTGGCCTATCGTGATTGACAGCTTTAACTAATTTTTATTTTATACAGCTAATTTGATTTCATCATTAAAGCCACAGATACAACAGGGAAACCATGATGGTTCAATTACCTTTTTCAACTGGTAATTTTTACCATTTAGCTGGATACTCAAGTTAAATCAACTTCTCAAATGGTTCACTTGGTGCTGCAGAAATCTACCCTTAAAGAGTGTATTTCTTCATACAATGGGATTTGTCTATCATCACAGATAATATCTCGTAGTTCTTACCTGAAACATAAAATATCAGATTTTTTTTTTTTGCAAGATGAAGCTAAAGAAAAATAGTTTTATAGCAGAAAACAAGTTAGGTGATAGCTGGCAAGTGTGATGCTTGTTATCCTGTTAGATTCTCTCTTCTGGGCAGGACATCATCTGCAATGATATTCAAACTGAGCCATTGTCAATTATTTCCCATCAACTCACTGTAGCAACTGGGAAGCAGTTAGTACAGAACTTTACACCCTTAAGTAATTATGACAAGTAATTTTAAGAACAGTGTGAAAGATAGGGTTTATTGACAAGAAACATTCATAGGCCAAATTACAAGGGAGTGCAAAATTGTCAATGTTTAGGCAACTAGGCAAAACCCAATTGGAAAAGATTTGATTTAGATAAATGCCAGCTACTGAAATGAAAAAAGCAAATATGAAAAAGAATAATGAAAAGAAAAGAGGAGAATGAAGAAAGGAGGTATAAATTAAAGGAGAGAGAGTTAATGAGTAAAGTTAAATGAGATAAAGCTGAATTAGATAAAGCCCTGCCTTTGGATGATAATACAAGTGCAAGGATGACCCTCTGTAGCATAAGTGTGAGTTTCTGTGTTTATTAAAGGTGCCACACCACTAAAAGTGATAATTCTTTTTTGTAAATCTTTAATGAAGTAGAGTGCATTGTGAGGCTAAATAGTTTTTAATGAAGTAAACAATAAAATGAAAATAATGCAAGTAAATGCAAAGATATGGAAGGAAGATTTATGATGTTTCTTCTGGACATATCATTCTGGATTACTCTGGGAGAAAAGGGATAAAAAGGAGAACAAAATCAATACTAATAAATACTGTAAAAAAGCAACTCATAAAACAAGATATAGAAAATGCTTCATACGTAATTATGTATTGTGCTAAATAGGAAATAATATAATATTTTTTTAATTGTCCAAATGAAGAAACAGGTGTTTCATAAAATGCCATCCATCTATCAATATTGGCATTAATGTATCAAAAAAGAAAACATTCTAGGGAAGAATATGTTGCATTCAGGAAACAAATGTAGATTGCAAGTTCAATTAGATGGAAGAATGTTTTACATAAGTTAATGTGGAAAGTACATAAAGATAGTGTTTAATATCCTAAGGAGATAAAAATTTGGGAGTTACTGTTGTATTATTTAAACAAGGAGAAGTAATGATGTAATGTAATCATCATAATAAGATGGCAACATGTAGTAAGAACTCAAATATTGACCACTTTCAAACGTTGTCATTCCATCTTCATATAAATTATGTGAATGTGCTACTAAGATGATTTTCCGTTTGAGGAAACTAAAGTGTAGTGAGAGATGTGACTTGAGTGCAGCCCCAGAGCTCCTTGGTGACAGAGGCAGACTTTAGGTCCCACGTTCTTAATCTCTATATGCTATTTATTTGCATGTGACCCATTATCTTACCTATCTTTCCATTAAATTATGAATTTTGGTGACTAAAAGATAAATTTTTCAGATTGATTTTTTTAACCAAACTAAGCATACCTTATATTTACACATATACATAAATGTAAGTAAGTGTAAGGAACGTCTAAACTAATCTGGCTGAAAATTCCAAGTTCTTATTATATATTCAGTATATAATATTGAAATAGTAACTATGCCATCTATACCTCATGGATGCATATAACATTTTCAACATTTAATGAGCTTAAAATATAATTTCAATTGCGAAATAGAGAAGCTGCAACATTGACCTTCTTTAATGCCCCATCAGATGCATGCCTACCAATGACAAATTTTCAGGCATTTTTAATATATGTCATGCAGTGTGTTTCATCAGCTCTTACCAAATATTTTACTCATCCTGCTCCTTTGGCTTTTAGTAAATAGTGCTTATTTGGCTTTTCATCGTAAATAAGGTGGATAAAATGTGTCACCACGAACACAAGACAATAAAACACTTCGATTGGTCATTCGTTCATTCTTTCTTATAGTCTCTTAAACCAAGTCACTGGACACTGCAGGCATTCTTTATTTTTTTCTCACCCTGTTACCTTAATGAAGGCCCCAGCACTTCATTATATTTCCCAAACTAAAATCCAAATCTGATGAACAGTCAAGTAAGTCAATATTTCTAGTTTTTTTTAAAAAAATTGTGAGATGAATTCACACTTCACAATACTGAGCAAACTTAGATGGCTCATTAGATCTCTGTTCTAGAACTGAAGTTCTCTGCTGCAGCCCGCTAGGCCTCCTGAACCCATTTCCAGTCCCCAGCCCTCACCTCATCCAGCCTGCCAAACCCCTTCTATTGTCTTGGACCATTTAGTTTTGCCCTCCCTGTGTTCTTACTGAGCAGTGCACACGTTCAGCGGGTGGATAAACCCATCACCTGGAAACCAGCTGAGTCGCTCTTAATTATGTAAACACATCGTGTTAGGCTCTTACTCCTCACACTACGTGCACGATCATAGTGTTCTCATAAAAACCAGGTCTGGGAGGGGAGAGAGGGGTCTGCATCTGAAATAGTAAAAACGTCTCCATATTGCTCCTCATTCACTCACTGATTTACAAAATATTTTCTGAGTACCTATTTTGTGCAATGTACTAAGTTAGCAACTTAGGGATATAAACGTAAATTTTAAAAAGCTCCTTTTCTCAAGAAGCTTATCATTGGGCAGTAGAGGAAAATATACAAATAATTAGACATAAGACATTCGGAATGAAATTAGGGCAAGCAAGATCTATTGGAGCACTAACCATGGCTAGGCCAATTCTGATTGGCGATCACTCAGGAGGTGATATTTAAATTGACCTTTGAAGAAAAATAAAATATTGCTAAGTATTAAGAGGACTACCTAGGGAAAAGAAAAATTATTAAATGATAAAGGAATAACATACTAAATGGCATGGAAGTGAGAAATAGCTTTCCATGTCCGTGGAACAGCAAGTAATCCGATGTGTCTGTCATGCATAATGACTTGAGAGATGAACTGAAACGTGTCTGGAAAGATAACATAGTATAAGATCAAGGAGGTCCTTGATCCCTAAAATAAAGATTTTGGAACTCACCATATAAAAAAATAAGAGCCATTGGTATTTATTTAGCAGAGAAATGACATGATAGCCTCTTGTCCCATTTTTAAAAATTCACACCTGGTGTTTTCTTTGTTTACGGCACCTCCCATCATAGCCCTTCCAACCCCCCACACTTTTATTTGGTCAAGTCCATAAAGGAGCTTGCTTCACCTCTTATGGAAAATATTTCACCTCTTCTCTTAAACTTTGCAGGACTGCTTTTTCTCAGGTAGTTTATACACTTCTCCCATCTTCCTTCCTTGTGCTCAGACTGTATATCTATTGATGATTCTTAAATAATAATCATCTCTTTTCTCATCTATTTCCCCTCAGTTGACTTGAATTCAGGGAGAATTTATCGTTGGTTTTTGTATCCTTAGTGTCTTCTTAGCATGTTGCCTTCTAGATGCTTAATAAATTTTAGTTGACCAAATACTCAGAAATATGTCTTGGTAAGAAGAATTTGTCATCAGTGAAGAAAACACACTGAATAAACAGGATAAAATTAGGGATAATAGCTAGATGGTCACTGTAATGGGACATCGGGAGAGGATAAAATAAGAAAGTGATGAGAGAAATGAAAGGAGACCAAAGAAAGAAAGCTGATTAGATGGGACAGAGGCATGGGGACCAACTTGAAGATGACCCTAGATAACTTGGAGAAAGGTCGTGTATTATCAAACATGGGGTTGATTTTGCTCAAGGCAGATATGAGTTCTCTTTTTGATGGGTTTTATTTGATATATCTATTGGAACATCCAACTTTTTTAGATGTCTAGAAACCATAATCATTCCCCTTTAAACCAGAAATGTGGGCTACTATTTCTTTTGTCTAAAAACCTAAAAACTATCCCTAAGCAAGTTTGAGCTGTAATACTATGAGTCCATAACAATGAGAAAAAAATCAACAGAAAGATAAATCTACATCTCATCCTGTTCCTTAGAAAGAGGCAATATCTAATATTTCCCACTAATCTTAAGATTTGGGTGTTCACAAGTTCAAGTTCTATTTAAATCCTACTCAGCTGATTCTAAATTAATTATATGTTATTTCTCTCTTGCTTTTCTACAGTATGCTGTCTGGCTAGTCCTCTGGGTTACGTGGAATGTGTTTGTTATCTGCTTCTATTTGGAGGCTGGGGACCTCTCAAAGGTAATTTGCCATCTGATTTGCCTGAGTCATCAGTACTGTGTTAACAAGCCCCTTCTAAGTCAGGCAGAGTCCCACCCTGCTCTCGTCACTTAGATGCACCTTGAATGAAGGTAGATTGAAAGGTGTCCTCATCTGAATCTCTCCATTTCTACCATGTAAGATATGTTTCAGTGTGTCACAGAAATGTGCTTTTATTTTTTTAAACAAAACTAGTGTGAAATATTGATTATTACAGTTAGCATGCTGTGTACTTTTAACACATTTATGAGAGATTTCTAAAGCAGAATAGGAGTTTTTTCAGAGATAAAATCCTGAAGAATTTTGAAATTGTTTAGTTTGCTTATTACTCTGCTAAAGATTTTCCTGGTTGGACCCAAATAGCATTGCAATAATTCAAACAATTAATGGGTTTTAGTTGAATAAAATTGTTACCAGGGGGCTGTCATTTATTAAATAAATGAATAAAATAAACATTTTATTCTAAAATACTCTAGGAAAGATTTAAAATAGTTGTCTTTTCATTTAGATTTTTTTATTTTGTGCTGTTTTCTTGTGAGTGTTGTATGTTTGTGTGTTTGTGTGTGTGTGTTGCTTTTATATTTCTAACATGAATGCCTTTACTATTGAAATAATGTAGTTTTTAGATCTCTAACACTAGCATTCTTCTTCTATTAGAATGCAATTAACAGACAATAAGTCAAATGAAATAATCCATTCAAAGTAGTGGTAAATCTTGCTTGAGACACTTGAGAGACTTGCAAGCTTGTGTTAACTTTAAAAGACAGAGATTGTAAAATGTTCTTTTACCTATCCCTTATTAGAACAAAAAGACCCTGCAAATATGTTGACATCTTTAAAACTCGGAGATTATAACCTGCTTTAAAAGGTGAAAAGATCTAAAAGTTTCCAGGAACTACCTTTGCAGGGCTATCTATTTTAGGGGGCGGGGGCTGGGGGTAGTGATAATACACATTTATAATGTAACGTACAGGAGTTTCACAAAGCATTCTGAGTGTTTTCAAGGATATTTATTTATTATTTAACTGTGATATGTGGCCTTATATGAAGTATAAGAAATCTAGATTTGTTTTGTTCAATGGCAAATGATGAAAGATACAAGAGGGTGACGTTACGGTATGAGATAGAACCTGTGATTTTATGATCAGATTTTGGACAAGTCCTCACTGTGGCCTTCTGTAAAATCTGCCCTGGTAGATGGCAGATTTCTGTGATTTTTGTAGGGCATTGTCCTCCACACTCTTGGCAGCAGGCAGTCCTTTCCAGAAGATGCCGTACGTGACCAATGAAAAGGAATTGTTCAGGTAGCTCTAGGAAGGACACAGACAGTATAGCTGCTTAAAACTCACGTTCCCTCCATGCCAGAAAAGCACACACACTTTGCAGGGCTTGAATTCTTTACCCAATTTATATATCTCACTGCTCTTTAATCCACTTTGTTCAAAGAATTTCCACATTAGAAGGACTTTTAATGATATTTTCAATTTTAAATAATCTCCTTAATAACTGGAAGGCAGGTATTCAGGTATAGTGTCTGAGTAAAATGATCTAGCAGATCAGTTTGTTTAATATAAAAAAAAGAGAGAGAGTTGAGCCAAGCTGGCTGTACTAATGCTCTGTAATTGTGCTCATTGCTTCACATGATGGCTGTAGGCACAGAATGAAGCTTGTGATCTCATGACCTGGGACATGGGCATTGAAGCCACGACGAGGGCACATCCTAAAACATTATAGTTTAAGAAAGTTGCAACCCAAATGACTAAGAATTATTCTAGTGTACTCAGGCAGGTAATGACTGTCGCTTGGCAATGAAGCAGTTAATAATATTTCCTTTTCTTTTCATCTTATAAACCAAGGTTAGGCCCTGCAGGGCAAATGAAAATTTAATAATTTCCTTTTAACAAATAAGCTAAAGGAAAACCATAAAGGGCAAAGTTATATAGTTATCTGTACTGGGTTTTTCCTCCCTTTCCCACTCAAAGGGTTTGAGAAAGTTGTATTTATACCTTTTAATTCTTTAGCTTCTGCAGCTGCCTCACATTCTTCAAGTAATACAGTGCCAGAAGGAAGCAATGGTGATTGAAAAATGTACGGACATATGAAAACTCAAAAATAGGACTCCTGAAACTGCCGATAATACTTAGATTACAGAATATAAACTGTTCTTTTTCTCATCCCGCCAAAACAATAAACTGGTTTGACCGTATGAATGGGTCAGTTTGTTTGAGGCCAGGGGAGAAATATGGGAAATAGAATCAGGGAGGAAATTCTGTGGTCTTTATACACGTGAAAGAAGTGTTATTTCCATAAAACATTTTATAAATAGGTGATTCCTTCATAATGAATATCGGCAAGAAGTGATAAAAAGTGGTAAAATATTAAGGCAAACTTTAGTTACTTGCTAGAGTTTGGAATTTTGTGTTGTCCTTTTTCACAGTGTCTTTTCTGCTTTTTATGCTGAACCATCTGCCATGTACTTATGAGCGAGACAGATTAGAGTCATTAACTACCCCAGTGCATAGGGTCAGTGATGAAATGGCTTAATTACAGTAAAATGATACACAGCACTGACCCGTGTGACCCTCAGTTTTCTTTAAACCCATAATTGTATAGATCATATGTTTTGTTCTTTGAAAATTCCGTCAATCCAACATTATTATTAAAATATCGATTAATATATTTTAATTATTATCCCTGTGAGATTTAAGGAAATTAGAACTAATCAACCAGAGAAACTGCTTTTTAAAAATTTTATGTCAGTAAAATTACCAAAGTAATAGGAATGTAATATAAAACGTTACATAATATGATAGCAACTAATAAACATATACATTGCATAATGATTGTTTCCATATTATTTACATTAATGGTTTAGATATTAGTGTTATGATTAAATATCCTAAGGCATCCTACAGTATATTACTTCCTATGTTGATATGTTAATACATATCCTGGTAAGGAAACAGAGATGACATTAGTCTGTAACCAAAAGAGTCTGCTAACTTTATAGGCAATTGCCTTTGAGCATTAAATGTGACCAGGACTATTGGATTAAGTCTTTTGAGAATTTCTCACATAAATTGTCTTATTGTTCTGTTGTGTTATTCTGGGCAGTTGTGACTCTCTTGCTCACATATCAAATAGAAATGGGAACTAATCCCAACTATCAACTGAGTTGAATTATTTTGAAAGAGAATACATCTGCTATTTGTTCTGTAGTAATTTTTAACTTGGAAGTGCATAGCAGTTATAAGGAAAACACATATAACATGGTAATTCACCTATTAGGTTCATCACCTGGGAAAATGAAATTTACGAAATAATTTTTGAATAGTAATGCACAGGAAAAATATTTAGTAGTCTTCTAGTTATTTGCAAAAACTTATATTTTATTGGATGTGATACAATTGCAAATTACTCCTGGGCCGAAATATTCGAACACTTTTCTTTATATGACTATTTTGAGATCTCAGTTTGTACTTTTGTAATTTATGGGGCACCATTAGTGAATGATGCACTTTAGAAATAAAACAGTAAACTTACAGATCATGAAGCAGTAACCAAGGGATTATTTTACACTCAAAACAACCCAATTTGTTTGTATTTAACCCTTTGAGTGTAGGGACGCAGATACATATCTCTCAGGCTTTGTTATATTATCAGAAATTGTCTTGTTAAACATAGCCTAAAGCAATTAATTATACTTAGTGATACGTATGTTTCAGAATGAACACTTTTAATAGCAACATCTAGAAAGCTATCATATTTTAATAATTTTGTTGGTTGCTTCTGAGATCTAGATATAAATCTTCATTTAAAAAATTTGATATATAAAAAAGACCATGTAAGAATGTGGCCTATTTAAGCTTTGGGGAATAAAACTGCACTCTTGAAAAGGTAAGAGACAGGAAGAAAATAAAACCTGTCATACACTGTAGGCAATAGGGAACAAATCCTTAAAACCAGATGCAAGTGATGTGTGGAATAATGTCCTATTGCAACAATCCCAGTTTTATTCTTTCTATAAAAAAGTGTGTTATTCATTTAAAGAGGTGTCTGATATTTGGATATTTTCTCCTCAATGAAATCAATGCTTGTATGAAAATTTGCTTTTATGATTTCGTGGGGAAAAAGGTGGTATGGAGAGAAATCTGTTATAATTATTTTTTTATTTGAATTAATGCTCTTCAAGAAGTAAATATGTCTATGCAATTACTAATAAAGAAAGAATAACTCTGATAATTGATTTAAGACTAAATTTAACAAATATCAAGAGGAAAATTGATTGGATTCGTATATTTTATTTTGCTTTTCTTACTGTAAAATGTATATAGTTTAAGAAAACTTCAATTAACTGTTACTGAACTAATCAGAAAAATTTTCATTTCCCAGCCATCAAAATAGATTTTGCTTTATGATGTAGAATAAAATGTCCTACATGTTATTAAGAATTAAATATAATGTAATTTTCTCCCCAAAATAGAAACAAACCAACCTATTGTAATTTCGCCAAACTGTCACTGCCTCTCTTCCTTGTTTTCTTTAATAATGTATTGAATTAAACTTCTATTTTCTTACTTCTTCAATTCTCTTTTGTTTGCTCACTTTTGCCACTTCCTTTTAATCCACCTAAAGTGAGGATTAGGGTCCTTGAACCTTCCTGCTTCTCTATTTACATTCTTTCACTTGAAAATGCCATCCACTGTCATAATTTCAACTATCATCTCCTCACATATGTCTACCAGATTTATATCTTCAGTCTTGACCTAGTTGCTAAGTTAAAGTCCCACATCTCTAACTTTCTGCTGGTGTCATGTCAATCCTATTGTCACCTTGAATTCAACATGTCCAAAAGGATTTATCATCACCCCCAAAGAATCAACTTCCTTAATTCACCTCTTAATCAGAGAAGAAAAAAATGCAAAATTCATTTTGAAAAATGAATAAAAGAGGAAAAAAAGTTATTTTGGGGGAGGTAGGCT